TAGATGGGATCAATGGTTCTCAGTTTAATTGGATTTTGGAAATCAATATGGTCTTATCACCATCCCCCATCACTAGTTCCTATATTGCAATATGCGAAGTTGCAAACTCTTTAACTGGCGTCCTATTTTGATCACATAAGCATCTCATAGTCTCCATGTTAACTTTCATGCTTGTCCATTGTCCACTGTGTCTACAAATATTTTTTTGTGCCGCTTTTCCTTAAATGGATGATTTTTAGTAAATCTGCAATAATTTCCCATGCTTTGATTTTATTAGACACTTCTATATCAAAACCCATGGGTTTTGCCTCTTTTGTGCACATGAGACTATTCTCCGTAATTTCTGCTTCCTGGCTTAAGTGGCTGGCCTGGGTTATCATTCTGCAACTGTGGTTTCTACTATTTTTTGTTCAACAATTTGATTGGATTAACTAGCATTTTAAAAGCCACGCTTTTAGCATTACATTAAATTTATATTTTGTTAACTAAAAGCTTTGAAATGTAACAATAACAAGCTTGCTGGCCATAGATTTTAGCGTCCTGGTTGTGACTGCTAATGATAGGTTTATTAGAGATACCATTTTATTTGTCAGTACTTATTTGTTTCTCAAATTTATTTACATATCATTCTTTTTTTTTTCTCTTCTCTCATCATTTCTTTCACATTCAAACTTTTATATGTGCACAAGTAACACATTCTCTTCATAATTTCAGATATCTGTCTATGACTTGCGTATGTCTGATCCAATTCGAATCAAGGATCATATGTTAGTGCCCTTACCAATAAGATCTCAAATGAGAAACTTCATTCATATTGTTTGTAATGTGGGCTTTAGAGCTTTGAAAGTATGTGCTATAGTCTTTCTGGCTGTCTTGCAGGTATGGAAGACCAATATTGGACATCAAGTGGCATCAGACGCTTAATTCTGTAGATCCTAAATTGATCAGCGCTGATAGCCATGTTGTGCGAGTTTGGGATCCTAATACGGTAAGAATTATGATACGTTGGTGCCATATTTTTCAAGAAATGTATTATTATCTTTGTCAAGTTTTTGTTCTTTACTAAAACACTTATTTTGTTTCTTTTATTCTCACCTCTTTACATTCAAATACATTGTATACGACCTGTTACTAAAGCCAGTAGAAACGTATATGTTGTGTCAAGTTCATATGGTATCCATTTATGAATTCGATTCTTAATCTTTTTACTTGTGTGAGAATACTAACAAATAAGTATGAACTAGCTACTTTTGTTAGAGTATCAATACCATTATTGCGATTATATTACTTGGCTTAGACTGCTTTAATTTGGAATATAGCTTTTACCATTTTATTACTTTTTTTCTTCTGTTATGTTGTAAAGGTCACGATTAGCACCTTATGTTTAATCATTATTCTTTCAAAATAATGTATCTTACAACTTTTTCACATTGTCTTGTGTTATGCCGGGATATTAATCTTTTTTCTTTGCTTTCAGGTGGATCATTTGATTAATATAGAACCAAGTGATGGTACCATCAACGATGTTTGTGTTTTCCATGAAAGTGGCTTGATGTTAATGGCTTTGGATGGTAGCCAAATACCTGCCTACTTCATTCCAAATTTAGGACCTGCACCAAAGTGGTGCTCATATTTGGAAAACCTTACTGTATGATGATGCTCTTTTTCTTAAAAACAAAATAATATTGGAAAACAAATGTTCCTTAACTTATCATTACTTTTTATTTTGCTTTTTGAAGGAGGAGATGGAGGAGGGACGATGATTATAAATTTTTAACAAAGGAAGATCTTGACAGGTTGCATTTGACAAATTTAATCGGCACAAATTTGTTAAGAGCTTATATGCATGGGTTCTTTATTGACTATCGTTTATTCAAAAAGGTTTGCATCTTTTGCCCTACAAATTTAGTAGTCATAAATGCTTTCTAAGTGAACAATTTATGTGTTAGTTTTTTTTTATATAATGCTTAGGTTGTCACGTTGTACACTGAGGATATTCCTCTCAGAAGTACTTTTTGATGCCCCTTAAGTTCCATATTTCAAAATATAGATTATAATTCTCTTTTGTACTGCTTTCTTCCTCTCTTCTAGAAAACTATTTATCTTAGCATCTTGAAAAATTGGCTTTTGCCACTTTCACATAAAAATGCTGACAACGTTTGGTCATGTAAATTGGAAAAGTTAATTTTGTTTCCATTTTGAAATTCTGTGGTAGATTTATTCTTGTGGAATTTTGTATAATAATTTTTCCATAGGGTTTATTGTATTTTGCTAGGAAGGTAAATGGACCAACACACTCTTATCTTCTAATCTGATAAATTGGCTCATGTCGTTTGCAAAGAGTTTTCAACAAAACAAACTTTTGAAGGAATGTCTGTAATTAATGTTTCAAAGCACTGGTTCTTTGTTTTGCTTCCAGCCTTGCATTCTATGTCTATAGTCAATGATTGATGTTCAATTCCGTCAAATGGCAATTCTCTCGAGAATTTGTGTTTCCTTCTTGATGTCCACTAGAACATTCAATGGTAGCATTTGCTTTGTTTTTTCTCTTGCTCTTGTTTGCCTAGCTTCAATATATTCCAATCAAATAATGTCATGCTTACACAAGAATGTTTTAGAGAAGGCTATCTATGTAACTACAATGATGCAATGAATACAAGTTTATATCCTACATTCATTTATGGTGACGACTTCCCCTGCAATTAGATAGTACATTTATAGCAGTCCCAAAAAAATCATTTATCCAACTTGCATACACAATATTGAAACTTCAAATAAAAAGTTTTACCAATTCAATTTTTTTTTTTAATTACCTACCTCAGCGTTTATATTTATAAATATATTATCCCTAAAAGTTGGATAATTTTGGGAAATGGATAAGATCACATAACAACAAAGCATTCTAAAAGAAACCACATGTAAAAGATTTGATTAATATAGAACCAAGTGATGGTACCATCAATGATGTTTGTGTTTTCCATGAAAGTGGCTTGATGTTAATGGCTTTGGATGGTAGCCAAATACCTGCCTACTTCATTCCAAATTTAGGACCTGCACCAAAGTGGTGCTCATATTTGGAAAACCTTACTGTATGATGATGCTCTTTTTCTTAAAAAAAAATAATATTGGAAAACAAATGTTCCTTAACTTATCATTACTTTTTATTTTGCTTTTTGAAGGAGGAGATGGAGGAGGGATCACAAGGTACCATATACGATGATTATAAATTTTTAACAAAGGAAGATCTTGACAGGTTGCATTTGACAAATTTAATCGGCACAAATTTGTTAAGAGCTTATATGCATGGGTTCTTTATTGACTATCGTTTATTCAAAAAGGTTTGCATCTTTTGACCTACAAATTTAGTAGTCATAAATGCTTTCTAAGTGAACAATTTATGTGTTAGTTTTTTTTATATAATGCTTAGGTTGTCACGTTGTACACTGAGGATATTCCTCTCAGAAGTACTTTTTGATGCCCCTTAAGTTCCATATTTCAAAATATAGATTATAATTCTCTTTTGTACTGCTTTCTTCCTCTCTTCTAGAAACTATTTATCCTAGCATCTTCAAAAATTGGCTTTTGCCAGTTTCACATAAAAATGCTGACAACGTTTGGTCATGTAAATTGGAAAAGTTAATTTTGTTTCCATTTTGAAATTCTGTGGTAGCTTTATTCTTGTGGAATTTTGTATAATAATTTTTTTCATAGGGTTTATTGTATTTTGCTAGGAAGGTAAATGGACCAACAAGCTCTTATCTTCTAATCTGATAAATTGGCTCTTGTCGTTTGCAAAGAGTTTTCAACAAAACAAACTTTTGAAGGAATGCCTGTAATGAATGTTTCAAAGCACTGGTTCTTTGTTTTGCTTCCAGCCTTGCATTCTATGTCTATAGTCAATGATTGATGTTCAATTCCGTCAAATGGCAATTCTCTCGAGAATTCGTGTTTCCTTCTTGACGTCCACTAGAACATTCAATGGTAGCATTTGCTTTGTTTTTTCTCTTGCTCTTGTTTGCCTAGCTTCAATATATTCCAATCAAATAATGTCATGCTTACACAAGAATGTTTTAGAGAAGGCTATCTATGTAACTACAATGATGCAATGAATACAAGTTTATATCCTACATTCATTTATGGTGACGACTTCCCCTGCAATTAGATAGTACATTTATAGCAGTCCCAAAAAAATCATTTATCCAACTTGCATACACAATATTGAAACATCAAATAAAAAGTTTTATCAATTCAAGTTTTTTTTTTTTTTAATTAGATACCTCAGCGTTTATATTTATAAATATATTATCCCTAAAAGTTGGATAATTTTGGGAAATGGATAAGATCACATAACAACAAAGCATTCTAAAAGAAACCACATGTAAAAGCCACAACATCTGACTTTAGCGCTGCAATAACCTATCCATAACAGTAGATTGTAGGATAGGTGCTAGAAATCACATGGAGGATCAGTGCTAGAACCACAGTCATGCCACAACAGGAGCCTGCAAAGTCATGCTCAAATAGAGCTGCATTAGAGATTCTATTAGTTTAGGGAAAATTGAGTTTTTATTCTATTACAATTTGCTTGGCTTGGAAAAATTTCACTTCCAAAAAATTTAGTGTTTGATATTTATCAAATAACTCTAGGGAAAATTTTTTGCTTGTTGAATAAACCGTGAGTCATCATAAAAAGGTTTATCATACCATTGAACTATATTGTTTTGAAATCTACCATCTGAATTAGATAGAATTCCATCATTTAAAATTGCTTTTGCGAAATGATGGATATTGATTATGAGAGATAGAAATAGTGAGTAAAAAAGTGACAGTAAATTCATGAAATAAGGTCAAATTTGATACATTTAAAATTTGATCACTGCCAGAATTTTTTAAATTTTCAAATTTGTGTGAGCTTCTTTTAATGTACTGTAATATTTTTCATTAATGTGCATTTCTCTGTTTAAAATTCTTAATTGTTCTTAAAAAATCTTTTTTTTTATCTCCAAGTTGAATAACCCATTTTTTTTTTATTCATGTCAGCTTGAAGCTTATAATTATCACAAGTAGTAATTCATATTTTCTCCAATCTTCCTAATCCTTATCTTGATTATCTTACAGCATCTGGTAACAGTCGATTGGTGTCACTTAAGGCGTGTTAATAAATTTTATATAAGGATGTTTTAGGATCTAGGATGCATATCTAGCATGACATTCAAAAAACCATACATGCAAGATTAAATTTGTAGTTCTCAAGCTCCTAATTAGGTATATAATCATCTTTATAAAGTTGGAAAGACGCACTAATCTAATTGTCTTCTTGTAAAAGTCTGAACTCTGACCCATCGAAATATTGCCCACTTTGTTTTAATGGTCTTACGGTTTTTCCCAATTGGTGTAACTTTCTTGAGGTCACCCATCCTAAAAGTGTTCTAGCATTAGCATGCTTAACTTTGGAGTTTCTATCGAAACTCCAACTGTCACACCAAAATGGGCCTTGATGTTTAAGAGTTTGATGTGGGAGCTTACTGGCCCGCGGTAATGTAGCTGCTACAATGTCGCAGACGTAGTATTGTTGCTGCTACAATACTTGTTGCTACAATACCGCTGGTTAGCCCTTCCTTCCCCT